CGCGCCCTGCGAGCCCCTGGCGCGCCCCCGGCGGCCGGGGCCGCAGCGTGCTCGCCCCCGCCGCCAGCTCGCCTCACTTATGGGTCGGAAGCGCTGCGTGGGGGAGACTGTTCCAAGATGGCGGCGGGTTGCTGCGGGGTGAAGAAGCAGAAACTGTCCAGTTCGCCCCCCTCTGGCTCGGGTGGCGGTGGTGGCGCCTCCTCCTCCTCCCACTGCAGCGGAGAGAGCCAGTGCCGAGCTGGGGAGCTGGGACTAGGAGGCGCCGGCACGCGGCTCAACGGGCTGGGAGGTCTAGCCGGAGGAGGTAGCGGCAGCGGCTGTACCCTCTCTCCCCCCCAGGGCTGCGGCGGCGGCGGCGGGGGGATTTCCCTGTCGCCACCTCCGAGCTGCGGAGTGGGGACCCTACTTTCTACCCCGGCCGCCGCCACCTCTTCCTCGCCCTCCTTGTCGTCCGCCGCCTCGTCCTCATCGCCCGGCTCCCGGAAGATGGTGGTGTCAGCAGAGATGTGCTGCTTTTGCTTCGATGTGCTCTACTGTCACCTGTACGGATACCAGCAGCCCCGGACCCCCCGGTTCACCAACGAGCCCTAGTGAGTACCGTGCCCTCCGCCGCTCTCTCTCTCTTGCGCTCGGGATGGGGCTCAGAGTTGAAGCAAAGTATGAGTCCGCCTCCCCGCCGGCGGCTGCCCCTGCCCCTCTCTCTGCCCGAGTCCCTGGAGCCACTCGACCTAAGTAAGGACACCCCGCGCTTTCTGCCCTCCGAGGCAGGCACCCCACACTTGGAACAGGGTGCTGCTGCAAGAGGTGGCTCACAGTTTCCCAAAGGTGTTCGCTTTCTCTTTGCGGTAACTTCGAGGAGTTTTGACCCTTCCCTTCTCTCCTTCGCCACCCCGCGTCCCCACCGCCCTGGTTTTGGGGATCTGGATTACTCAAGGTGTTGACCTCTCCTCACTTTGGTTTCCATTTACCACACGTGAAAGCCCCGCCAGTATTCCCGCCCCGCGTACCTTGCACAGGGAGAGTTACTATCCCACTGCAGGGTGAAAAATAGCAACTATCCAACTTCTGTTCTGCTAGTGATGGAACTTAGCTCCGGAGCTTATGAGGTTACCGGTCTTTTCCTTCGGGTTTCCTTGTGTCCTGGGGAGGGAGGTGGTTTTTTTAAAAACACATTTTCCCTTACTACCTATTTTTATCCGAACATACCCATTAAAATGTGTTTCTAGTGAAGCGCACCGCCAGCTCTCTCACATTTGAAGAGTGAGACCTTTTTTTTTTTTAATTCCACCGTCTGGGTAATAGCTCATTCAAAAAGAGCTGTCCCCGTAGAGCCACTGTCAGTTTGTACATGAAGCGTGCATTCGCTTTTGTGTCAATTTCACTTTTTAAGAAATCTATTAGGCTCGACGATTTGAGAAATAGTTAAAACAATCCAACAGTAAGTGTGTAGGAATTTTTATGTTTTCTTTTGGCTTGTACTTTCAGTTATTTTACCCTTCAAGTGTGTGGTTGAAATTGTTTAAAATAGCACTGTTACAGCTAAAAGCAGGTTAATTCTAATCCCCGTCCATTTGGATGTGTGGGAGATGGGGCATATGGTTTTTTTTTTAATGTGTAAACGGAGTGTAAACTGACTTTTTGAGTTAAATGCGAGACAGAATGTAAAGCCCAAGGAAGGGCAGAATGACACAGAGGGCGATTGTTTTTATTACGAGTACTTTGCATCAACAACAACAAAAATGATAGAGAAAAATTTCAGTGAAACTTATACTGAAAACCATCAGCCCTTTTCCTTGCTAAGACAAGTGCCCCTTGTCCCCATATCATAAATACCTGAATTGATGTTCTTTTTAAACTGCTTCTTTTCATTTTGTGAGATTAGGGGATTAGACTACTACTGGATAAGTATAAACACTTCTGCTTAGACTAAAAATATTAAATTAATATGTAAAGTGGAAATTGCAATAAAGTGTCCTGGAAATTGTAACTTTGTATTGTTTGTTTTCTTTGGCTTTAATGCTTTAAATGTATTTATTTAATTTTGTATTTTTGCCACTCTTGTGGTCTGTGCATTTTCATTCAGACTTGGTTCATCTCTGGGCATTTATTCATAAAAAATGCATGAAAGAGCATCCAGACTGACACTTTGCCCAATAAAATTAAATATCTTTATAAATTTCATAGTTTTAATTCTAGGAGCTTAAATCCTAAACCCACACCTTTACTTAGCCAATTTGTTTTTTGGTTAAGAAGTCGGATTCATTTAGAAGAGACTGCCATGTAAAAAAAGAACTATGAAATATTTATTAGCTTGAGTCACTTATTTGTGACTTTTTTGCCTTCTCTTGGATGTCTATGATGTATTAAAGCCAGTCGTGGGATGATACATAGGTTGGCTCTGCAAAGTCATGGGACTGCAAAAATTCACTCCTGTTCAGTTACATGAGTTTGGCAAAGGCTGTTTTACTATTCACGCTCCATTGCTCCAAAGCATATGAGAACACACTTTTCAGGAGGTGCTATTTTCACACATTTTAAAGTGAGTTTGGGTTAACTGAATGACTGTAACAAGAAGTTTAAAAGGAAAGTGAGCTTGACCAGTTCATACAGAAAATGCTTTTTGAAAATGTCATCTCAACAGTGGCTACTTTGCACATGTGTTTAGGTATTGCTTGTCTTCGAATACCCCATCCGCTGGATTTCTTTTTCAGGGAACTAAACAGACCAAATAAGACACACTTTTGACTGCTGGGGATATGTCAAAACGATGGTGGAAGAATAATAACCATTATCATTTAGCAGGCCTTGAATGTGTCGTGTGTTCAACAAAACAACTAACTTAGAAGAGACACTGAACGTGACCAAGGGGAGAACGAAAGTTTGCTTAAGTGGAAAGAGGACTGCATCTTATCTTCATTTATCTTAAAGTCATTTTTGAGGTGTGCTGTGGAAAATTCAAGAAAATGTCTTAAAAGCAGTGTTTGATTATGGGAGTCAAATAACTCGACAGTGCCTTAGTAACCACCACACATTTTCTGTTTTACATATCACATGTTTAATAGCATCATGTACTTATTAGTGGCTTTGTGCTGGGGGGCATAAGCTGTAAATAGACATATTTCTTTTTTTCCCAGACCCTGAGTTACTAGTATCATGTCATGAGCAGCAGTGTTTCAGGTCTTGTCTCTGCTTCTCCCCCCCGCCACACCCCAGAAGACATGCTTTCAACAAATCAGATTCTCCTGTGTCAAAACACCGCTTTCATACCTTCCCAGAACCTTCTCTGTCAACATGTCTAACTAGTGAAATCTGCCTTGTATAGGTTCAGAAGTTGTCGATTGAGCAGTTACCCTTCCATTCTGAAGGGTTATTAGAAATTTCCTCTGTCCGTTTCAGGTTCAAGGAGGGGATGCCAATATGTGGACAGGCTGTAGGGTTACAAATTCTTCACTGTTGGCTGCTGTTTGTTGGAGCATCTTCCTCATTGCACAGAGGTAGCAGTAGCTACAGCTTGGGAGGACAGTGGAAACTTGTTTAATGGAGGACACATGACATTCGTGTTAAAAGTGAGGACTGCATTACTAAATCCTCGGTCTCGGTTCTCCAGGCACATTTGCCCACAGAAATCAGGTTTGAGACGTGATTTTAAAAATGACTCGAGGTGCATTTTACTCTTCAAAACCAGAGCTCTTGGATTCATATGTGGGAACCCAGATAGCCATATTATAGGAAACCATTTGCTACAATAAAGGGATCCACTGTGCCAGGTGTGGGAGCCAGTTAGACTCCAGAGCAGCCATTCTCCACTCGGGCTGCACATTCGAACCACTGGGGAATTATTAAAAATGTGGAGACCTAGGTCACAAGCCCAGAGATTCCGATTTAATTGGTCTTGGATGGGGCCTGGACATCAGGATTATTAAAAGCTCCTCAGGTGATTTTGAACGTGCAGCTGAGGCAGAGAACCACTGGTTGTACCGTATTTGACTAGCCCTCTCGCCTGAGATTCAGATTAATTTGGTCTGGGGTGGTGCCTGGGAACCCGTATTTTATAAGCACCCTGGGTCATTTCGGTAAACCACCGGTTTCGGAAAACCCTTGCAGTGTAGTCTGCCCAAGACCTGACCTGGGAGCTGCTCTGGAATGGAGGCTCTCAGGTCACCCCTCAGACCGGCTGAATTTTAACAAGCTCCCCAGGTGATTCTTCCGCACATTAAAGTTTGAAGAGGAGTGGTTCTCCAACTTTAGAGTACATCATAATCTCCTGTAGTGCTTGTTAAAACACAAATTGCTGGGCCCCATTCCCAGAGTTTTGGATTCAGTCGGTCTGGGGTGCGGCCATGAATTTGCATTTCTAACAAGCTCCCTGGTGATGCTGCCACAGTTCCCAGGACCACACGTTGAGACCCCCTGGGTTAGAGAAGTGAGGACCTCAGTAACATAGTACAGCAACTGTAAGGGAATGGCAGTTTTCCCTGCCAGTTTCCAGTAGAGAACTTCCTGTTTCCATGTCACAAGCCTTTGTCATGTTCTTTCTAACTTAGCACCGGGGAGATTGAATGCTGCCAAGATCCTAGTAAGAGTCCCAGGTTCTTGGGATGGTTTCAGTCTGAGGTGGGGGGAGGGGTGACTGTTGGAAACCGGTGGTATGATTTTAGGTCTTTTTTTTTTCCCCCCGGAAATGTTAAACGCAAAGGGCACCTTTTAGGAGTTAAAAACAGCATAAATATGATCTCTTAAAGTGAGTTGTATTGATTTTGATAAGTAAAGCCCCCTTCTGTTGCTGTAAAAAATGCTTTGATGATTAGCTCACTAAATAACACGTTGTGATAAGATTTTAAAAGCTTTTCCTTACACTTACGCTTGCTGGATTGGATTTTAAGAATTTCCCTCATTAACAAAGAAATATAAAAGGATCCTGCCAAGGCACTGGGATTGTTCAGTCTTATATCTTTAATGCTGTGTTGCATGTCACGTCCCATGAACTATTTGTTTTAATCTTCTTACCACCTTTGAAGTTAATGCACTACTACATTTTGTATAGACCATGGCACATAAAAGATACTTTACTATTAACATCAATAATATGGTTTTCCATCGCGGTGAATAAAATATAATTTTAAAAAATCCACTCCTGGATATGCAGTTCTTGAGAGATTCTGATCAGGTGTTTGAACGGTTAACTCTTTCTTGTCTTGTCACAGTAGTCAAATTACTGTTTCCCAGCGTGCTTGGGAAGAATTGGGTTGTTTTAGAAAGGTGAAGCAAGCACTGTGTTTCACCAGAATAGTAATACTCCTATGACATGTTCGTTAAAAAGGTGATTTGATAATGCAGCTCAGGTCAAAGTGATATTAATACAGCATTTTAAACACAAGCTATTATATTTCTATTATGTCTTTTTTTAAATGAAGACTGAGCAGAATAGCTGGAAGGTTTATCTGTCTATTGCAGATGATGCTACTAGACCACTACAGATTTCCTCATCCATGCTAGCATAATGGTCATAATGTATAGTTTTTCTTCACACACACACAAAAACAAAACAACATGTATTGTCTGGAAAATTGTTGAGCATCTTTGAAGGTAT